AATTAGTGTTCCTCGTGAAGTTTCTCGTTTTTAATTAATTATTGAATAACTTCATAAACTGTCGTCCCAGGATGTTTGGTGTTATAAATCTGGCAGTAAGTCTCCGCCACACAGAAAGAGCACACAAAAGTTACTCACAAGAAAGTGAGACAACAGTGTTTTCCGTATTGAAGACATTAAGGATCACAAACAAGGACATGGTTTTATGCTGAATAGTTTTCTTCCTTTTAGGGTGGAATATGCAACCTTATGTGGGGGAAAAAAACATTTACAAAATAGTTAATCCTGGACCTGGAGCACTGGAGAAACAACCATTATCAAAAGGGACAAGGTCAAATGTGCAAAAATATATATGATATAGTTATTTATTATACGGCTCCTCACAGCAGCAGTAGAATGCTCCATTGATTTGAATGTAATTTAAAAACGTTCTACCGGTCATTATTTTCTATAACGGACCTCTCAAAACAATAATGACCGCTGCCCATGGCAACGCACTCTCTGCTTGTATTTCAAATGCGTGGATAACTCCGCAAGTAGTTCCGGCCACTCCGGAGCTAGCCACGCTCAATCAACACACTTAAATGTTAATCGGAGAATACTTATACATATACATTCTTCACACACGTGCACGGAAATTTTCAGAATTTTCTGGTCTTGTCTTCATGACAAAAATACTATTTCTCTGCGTCAAAAAGCGATCGTGAAAAACCCGGAAGTAGTTCTGGCCGCTCAATAAACGCAAATGCCAATCAATCAAAGCAATGAAATGTTAATCGGAGAGTAATTTATACATATCCAGTCTTAATACAAGTGCACGGAAGTTTTCAGAATTTTCCGTTTACGTTTTCATGACAAAAACACTGATGTAATGCGAGAAAAGGCGATCCCGAAAAACCCGGAAGTAGATACCGGCACATTTTAAGATACCGGCACATTTTCGGACACATTTGCAGAGGATCGAATTATGGATTTAGGTTAGGTTTATGTATGGGTCACTCACTGCTGTTGTTCAGAATTCTTTGTTCAGTTTTCATGCAGTTCCAGAGAGTTCTAGTTTGGAAGTTGCCAGCCTAACTGTTGCCCGCGGTTGCCGAGCAACGGGAAAACTTTTTGGGACTACTTTATTTGTTGTCATTAAATAAACTTTTGGCATTCATAAAAGTGATCTGAAGTTTATTTTGTGTGTTAAGTTGGTACAAAGCAGTATAATAAGCGGGATAATGTATAGCCTACAGGTCATTATCGGAAAATAAGTACCTTCAGGGCGGAAGCAGACCTCCGTTGCGCGTCGGGGTCCGCTTCGCCCTGTCGGTACTTATTTTCCGATAATGACCTGTAGGCTATACATTATCCCTTACATATTTGTTTTGTAGTGTAACAAGTTTTTTTTTTACTTATACGTTTTTTTTTGTATGTAATAACTGTCTTTAAGGAGATGTCATGCTTATGTCTGCTATAGTGACAATTTCTCTCATTGTATATTTATTAGGGCTGTCAAACGATTCAAAATGTTGTGTTAATTAATTGCACAGTAATGGTGAGTTAACTCACGATTAATCGCATTTTTAACATTCTATTTCAAATCCACTCCAATTGAAGTTAAATGAGATTATCAAATGACACATTGCCATTCATACCAAATGTACTTAAATCTGTTAGATTTGCTCACAACCTTTTACTTTTGGGCACAACCAAAATGAGCTGTTCATGAAAGGGGAAAATGTACGTACCCCAGCTTTAATTTAGCAAGTTTAGTTTAGTTTAGTTTCATGAGGAGACACGGACACTTTAGCGGTGTATTTGCGTGCACAGGTTACGCACAGGTTACAAAAACACGAACACAACATGCAGAGAATAGTCCTGTGGCGTGTATCGTCTAAGCCGCTAACAACAACCAGAGCGGCCGCAGCTGCCCCCGGGGTGAGCCTGGGGAGGCGGACTTCAGTTCACAGCAAACAACAGCCCAGCGGTCACGCGCATATTCTTTTAAAACGTGGATTCCCAGAGGGCCTACCTGCTCTGTCACCATCACACACAGGCATGTGTCCGCAGCATTCTGAGTGATATTATGGATAAATGGGCGGTTCATTTGGACATGCGCTAATGCGTTAAAAAAAAAAATACGTGTTAATGAAAAATTTGATTAACGTGAGTTAACGCAATAATTTTGACAGCCCTAATATTTAGTACATTTGGACCATTGAAACTAAAGAATAAAGGAAATCAGCCCAAGCACTTCTACATTCAGTATTGCTCCCCTTTGTGCGACGTCAGTGATACTGTCACATTTTAAATGCTTTGCTTGTACAATTTAATGAAGTTAGCAATCAGTAAAACTGTCTGGGCAGTAGTGCATCTATCCTCTATGTAATAAAAGTCAATCTTCCATATAGAAAAGAAAATGAATTGAATAAGAGTAAAAACTGTGAACTTATTTGCATGGATGGCACTTTGAGGCTGTTGAAAATATGACAGTATTGAAATATGTACCCCAAAAAGTTCCTTCTTTACATTATTTGTTTGGTACTGACTCCTATTGTATACATTAAACTATACTAATTGCACTTCAAGGGTATGAATATGCATTAGCTTCAGCCTGCTTCTTTCTTTCTGCTGTAAATGTACTGTTCTCTAACAATCTGAAATAGTACAAGTGACCAAAATAAACTTCATTCATTCAAAGACAGGCCATATCAATCCAGTGGATCTACTGTGGTTTGTGTTTCCAGAAAGTCATCACAGGGACATCAAAGTGAATGTGTGTCTAAAGGTTCACTTGTATTTTATCTTTTTAACAGTGCAAGCTGAAACGGCCTGGTACGATAATGTAAATTGAGTCGTTTATCTGAGTAAATCCGAGTGGTTCAGTCCAGAAGGGAGGAGAACGCTCACAAACACAACGGTTTCTCTTGCCATTTCATTTGCAGAAATTAATTTTAACCATAAACAATATCTAATAAATCTGCAATCTGCAAGTCCATAGACGTCTGACTCCTCTGGCTCAGCTTTAAACCTGAACTCCGTGTTGTCACATGATTTTATTTTATATCTCGCTTATTTTCCCGCTCAGTTGTGCCAGCTCCGGATGGACATTTATAACCTAATAAAAGTTTCAAAACAATATTTATCCTACTGTCATTTTTAGTAGAATGGTCTGGACTATCAGCAGATTTGCACAAGCCACAGCATTTGCATTCATTAGTGTAAGCTGCATGTGGACAGAAGGTGTCAGACAGACGCACACTTGTCCCGGAGGCAAACGCACAACACCGGGAATTGGGTTAAGCGATGACACAAAGAAAAGCTCGAGGATGTGAGAATTATTTTGTCAAACGTTTTATACTTGACTGATTTTACTGTAACTGTAATTGTACGTGTCAGAGGAGATTACGGTCACTTTGCAGGTATTATAATTGAAATATTCTTTCAGCGGCTGCTTACACCTCTTCATGACTATCACCGTCATTTTGGATCATGCAAAATATAGCATTATCTTAAAGCTGGGGTTTTTGACTTAAACAACCCTTACCAATATGAACAAAGTAAATAAAATCTATCAAAGTACTGCATAGTTCCTCATGCTTAGTCAAAACTGTTTGCTTCCATCTCTAGTTTCCACATGCATTTATATTTTTATATTTGGCCTCTGTCACGTCTTTAGATCAGCTTTTTCTGCCAGAAAAGTTAAAAAGAGATCAGTTCTCAGCACAAAGTACTAATTTTTGTGATGCAAGGAAGATTCTATTATAATTTGGATATTGTGGTGCTCCCTTGTACGACAACTAAAAGTGTCTTAACTGCGGCATTTCATGTTTCAGAATGCAATGTTTTCTGGGGGGTAGAAATGTTAGAATGTAATGGACTTACAGAGTGTCATGGTGTGGACTTCCTGTTAATTTATCTAATTTTATTTTGATAATTCTTTGTTCTCTTGTTGTGAGTTTTACTTCCTGTCTGTTTAGTTGATCGTCTGCCCCGCCCTGATGTGTTTCGCCTGTGTCTCCCTGTGTGTGTTTAGACCCTGTCCCCCTCTCCTCTTGTTGTCGGTTCATTGTTGTTTCCTCCATGTCTTGTTCCCGGTTTCAGTTTTGACCTTTTTGTGGCAGTTATATATAAAGACTTTTTTTTTTCCAGTTCTGCTTTTGGGAACTTTCTTCTTTATCCATGACAAATAGGCTGGGACAATGCAACTTCGTTCACAAAACCCCCAATAAATAAAACACAATTAGTACTAAATGCATTTCAACATCCTTTCCAAAAGCATTTAAAGCCTACATCACAGCTCTTTCTAAAACAAAGAAGTCGTTGGGATCAGAAACACAAGTTCTCAGTGTCATTGTAAAGATCAGATCATATCCTTTTGAATCTAGTCGTTGACTTTGTCTGACTTTATAACATTTAATTGTGATTGTGCCACAAAATTCTGCTTTTGACACAAATGCAATTTGTAAATTTTTCATTTCGAAATTAGCTCTGTCAAAGCCTGAATCCAGTCAAAAAATATCCAGGTTTTTCTGTCACTGGACAAGTCTTAGTGGGCCTCTAGATATTAATATTCATAAAATTATAGATAGATCATTTATTGATCCCCTTTATGAGAAATCCAGGTGTCCAGTAGCAGCAGAAACACATCCATCCTTAAAGACAAAACAAATACATAATTCTAAAAGTAGCTAGCAATAGTTATAAAATGCAGTAGTTAATGCAATACAATACATATTTTGGGACTATCACAAAAGTGAAATTCAACAAATATTCTACATACAGTACATCCCAGGTGTTTTGGTGCAAGACCATGGAGAGACTTAAATCTATTCAGTGTCTGTATACTACGCCTCAAGAGATTCTGTGAGCTACAGTATACAGTCTGTGTCGAGAATGTGCACCAGTATATCTGAAAAACATTGTTCCTATAATATGCTTTTCAGTCGGCGCGCTTGCCCCGTGCTTCTCCCAAATGGCGTGTCTTTGTTCACACTGTCCTTTTTGTTTTGTAGGTCCCGCGATCCCGGTCGGCGTGGATGTGCAGGTGGAAAGCTTAGACAGCATCTCAGAAGTCGACATGGTAAGAAAACCGCTCGGGTAAACACCTCTTGGGGATTACATTGAAGTTTTTGACAAGTTACAAACATATGCCAAAACAAAAGCCAGCATTCCACTGCTTGAATTCAGAAGTATGTTGTCCCATGTTTTCTCTGCCAAAAAATACAGCTATTTTATTGAAATAAAGTTTGATACTATGACACATGCTAGGCAAGTTAATAATGAAAACACGCACCTCCAGCCAGAGTAAGTGCACATTCACTGCAAAAAGTGATGAAATACAAGTCAAAATTGCTCAAGTCTGGCCATTTTTATAATAATTTGAGCACATTTTGACTAGCTAGCTTAAAACAAGATTTGCCAATAGAACAAGCTGAAATTAGAATATATGAGTAAAATCTTGTTTTAACACTGTCAGAATGATGGATAGATACATACTTTATTGATCCCCAGTAGGAGAAACTCAGGTGCCCAGTAGCAGCAGAAACACATCCATCCAAAAACAAAACAATAAATATATATATATTTTTTTCAAAATACTAATTTAAATAGTGGTAGTACTCGTAGTATTAAAAGGCAACAACACAAAACCACTCAATTCAAGCAATTATTACCGCATATTCTATAATTTTTTACAGTGTTGTTTTATATTATTTCTACAATGGCCTGATAGTGAAAATAATATACTAAGAAAATATTCAAAAAATCAAAATCCAACAACAATTGCATTAAGATCTATAGAAAACATATTTCCCCAAGACAAAGGAGATTTTATTACATCAAAACAGGGTTAGAGTATGAGGTACATGAAACCAAACTTGTGTCAGGACTTTCAGAGCACGTCAGCATCTATGGAAGCCCTGTTGGGACTCGCTGTTGTTTAATTAAACAGCAAACACTCACAGTAGGCCTACCTCCACCAAGGGAATCTGCTCTAGCAAGAAGCCGAACAGGAAAACAAACATCCAATTCTTAAACTGAACGCCTCAAGGTAAAGAGTGAGGGCTAATTTTATTGTCTTCATTGTGTTAGCAGTGTATCACATTTGCTCTGTATATTCAATTCAATTCAATTCATTCTTTATTAAGAACATAGATAGAACTGGTTCATAGATTAAAAAAAACAAAAACAAAAAATAATAATAATAATAATAATAATAAAGAGACAAAAAACATATGTATACAGTAAAATTATAAACAGGTGTACAGACAGGACCTCCAATGCCTCCATAGGTCAGAGGAAAACCTTACAGAGCTCCTCCTTGGACAGACCAGAGCTTGGATGATCTGGTTTGACAGATTCACGGCTCTGCACATAAAAGAGTAAATACAATATCTGATGGAGACAACACATGACCTCGCACCACAATTTACAAACATTTCACTGGCGCTACAAAACCTGGGCACTTTCAACAGAATCCTCAGAGAGTCATTGTGAGCCACATTTAGACTCCGCATACTCTTTTTCTTATATCTACACCAGAGCTGTGCAGTATACAAGGGTGAGCAAAAAGCCTTGAAAAGATTAACTTTAACATCTCTAGAGCACATGTGAAACTTCCGAACGAGCATATTAGCCTGGCCATAAAGTTTACACTGCTGTCGATACATGTCTCTGTCGTCAGAGAGGTCAGAGGTTATGTAGTGTCCAAGATACTTTACCTCCTCTGTGGGTTGGAGAATATCACCACATAGAAGGAAATCAGGGAAAACTAATTTTTTATCCTCCTTTGTTTTTACAATCATGATTTGACTTTTAGAGGCATTATACTTGATGTCATGCTCTATGCCATATCGGGAGCAGATATTTAACAGCTGCTGTAGACCTGCACTGTAAGGACACAACACTACAAGGTCATCTGCATACATTAAATGGTTACACAGGTGACTGCCAACCATGCATCCAGTTTTACACTGATTTAGCTGCAGAGACAGGTCATCAATATAGACATTAAATAGAAGAGGAGACAAAATTCCACCCTGACGCACCCCATTGCTAACCCTGAATGGGTCAGAAGTGGAATCGCCCCATCTGACCTGCATGTACTGGCAGGAGTACCAGAATGCAAGTATCCTTATGAGGAAGTCTGGAACACCTCGATCTAATAATTTTTGGAACAATGTTCCATGGTTGACTCGATCAAATGCTTTAGATGCGTCCAGAAAACACATGAACATAGTTGATCCCTGAGAGTTATATTTGCCCAGCATCTCTTTGAGGGCATAGATGCACAGGTCAGTACCATGTGCAGGCTTGAAGCCAAACTGGTTAGCAGTGGTGTACAAATATGGCTCGAGTCGGGTTAAAAGAATAATCTCCAAAACCTTAGACACAGAGCTTGCTAAAGCAATTGGGCGGTAGTTGTTACTGTCACTGAGTTTACCAGTCTTATTTTTGATTATAGGGATCAATATAATGGACAAAAGTGACTGAGGCAAAAGGCCATGAACCAGAAACCTAGTGAAGCAGAGGGCTAAGAGAGGATATAGCCGTGAGCTGGCAAACTTTGCATGTTCAGAAGTCACTTTATCTAAACCACTGGACTTGTTGTTTTTCAGTTTGAAAACAGCTTCATACACTTCTTGAGGGGTGACTATCACTCCTCTGTGATTTCCAACAGGTTTTGTGACATTTGTATTTATATTGCTCTCAACGCAATTGAACAGATTATTGTAATAATTCTTCCAGTGCTGGCATATATTATAAGGTCCACTTACACCATCAATATTATTGGGCAGGGAGGTTTTAGATTTATTTATCTTACCAACCTCTTTCCAGAAGTCAGTATACTTATTATTTTGCAGCTTTGACACTAAAGAATCAGCCCTTAATGTGTTTTCATTACGTTTAATATATCTGAGGGCATATTTATAGTTGGTTTTTATAGTCGTTTTTTATATTCAAAAACAGGGCCAGATCTTGGTTTTCCACCTTCATGCCAGGCCTTGAAAGCCCTCCTAGCCTCAGCATGTGGTTCCTCAACAAACATGTTCCACCCAGGTTTACCTCTATGATTTTTCTTCTTTCTATTACATAAAAGCTTTCCAGATTTAATGAGGATATCTACAATTCTATCATATAAGGTGTAGAGTTGAGCCCCATGCTCAGGATCAGTACAATTAACATTGCGACACAGTATGGCACTTTTAGGTAGTATAACATCCTTAAAAAAATACTCAGTTCTTTGAGTGTAGGCATGCACTTCTTCACAGCTAAGGCTAGACCAGTCCGGGCACTCACTTAAACTATTCACAGGTACATGTACAGGAGTTAATTTGGGAACATTTTCTACGTTACAGTACACAGTTAATGGCATATGATCACATGTAGTCATATTATAATCAATATGCATTTTCACAATGGTCGCATGTGCGTCAGCACTACATATGCAGTGATCCAGCCACGATGTGGTGTGCCATGCATCACTAACATACGTATAGCTTTCTGCAGGCAGAAGCTCCTGGCTGGACAGGACGAGTCTATTTTCACAGCAAAACTGTTTCAAATGATTACCAAAACCTTAGCGACCATTTAAGCTTTAATATGAATAATTAACCCTGACATGGGATGACACAATCCATTTAACTAGTTCCTTACATTTTGCTTCTATCACTAGTTTTATAAGATCAACTTTTTCAGACAGAGAATTTGAAATGAGCCTCATCCAATCTTCTCTCAGTCCTGTGAGTCAAACAGTGACTCACAGGGCTCAGTCAGTGTAGTCTCTGTGTATGATTTGTAATAAGCTAAAAACAGCTTGTTTGAGGTCGGATTTGTTCACAACATTGTTCTCGTTTGGTCGGGACAAACAAAATCTAAAATGTATGAAACAAAAAGGCTAGATACCCCCGCTTTAAAAGGAGATGGGTCTCTTGGCACTGAGGTGACCACTGCTCCTGACAGGTGGTCCATTTCATTTTATGCTATTTTATGCTCTCTGCTACCACAAACTATCCATTGAGGCATTTTCACAGAGTCCAGCCAACTTCAGCTCAACCAATAAAGTCATGCTGCACCTCGTTGTAAAGCTCTGGCCCTTTGGAGCCATTCACATTATTTACAGACTGTATTCTGTCATTGGTTATCAATTGTGTCCCAAAATGGCACCAGTGTAGATGTGATTTAGATGTAAAGCCCAAAGCCTGAAAAGCAGTCGGAGAATGTTGTCAACCCCTGGACAAGTCTGGGCCTCCTACTAAAAAGTTTGGATACCCCTGCTCTATCGGGACATTAAAGTATACCTAAACCTTAACAATATTAGCCCCTTATGTATTAATTGATTTTTTTCTCAGTATTTTCTAAGATAACACACTGTCCCGTAGGATTTCACCATGACCCTGTACCTGAGACACTACTGGAAGGATGAGCGCCTGTCCTTCTCCAGCTCCACAAACAAAAGCATGACGTTCGACGGGCGGCTGGTGAAGAAGATCTGGGTTCCCGACGTGTTCTTCGTCCACTCCAAACGCTCCTTCATCCACGACACCACGACGGACAACATCATGCTGCGGGTGTTTCCGGATGGACACGTTCTCTACAGTTTGAGGTCCGTGTCTTGTCTTACACTAACACGCATGAAATCACAGAGGAAGAGAGTGTTCCATTTTTTAGGATAAAAGTGTAAAATCATTCTGGTGGAATTTGTTTTAGAGATGAATAAAACGTGCTTGGTGGTGGTCTTAGTGTCTTGATTGCTCATTCAACCAGCAAATTGGTGAGATTGTGGCTCACATGATTGAGTATTCATGCATTCAGCGTTAAAATCCCAAATCAAACCACAGCCTTGGGCAAAGCATTTCACCGACTGTGAAACTGGGAATGCTCATTCAGCGAGAAAGTGAATGTATTGAGAAGTTGTCATGTGGTGTTGTGGTTAAATGAACAGCTTTCAGAGAGAGCGGTCATTTACATCTATACGACAGACAACAAGCCAGAGAAGGGTGGGAGCCATGGGATGAACTAAACATTTTTTTTGTGATTTTGTGAGTCCCTTGTACTCACTCTTTATTGCAAGTTATGTTTTTTTATTTTATATAGTGCATTTTACAGACCAAGGTCACCCAAAGCGCTTTACAATGTTCAGAAATCAGGTATTTTTCCATTCACACACGGTGATGACAGCGAGACGCCAAACACACTGCCGCATCAAAGCCCCCCAACCAACCGTCCATTCACTCACTCACTCATTACCTTCAGAGGTTTTTAACTAAATTATCAACTACATTTTACGACATTTGCCTTTAACCACTTTTTCAAACACATAATACAAACAGAGACAATGGTCTTTGCTCAGTGGCCTGTTCCTGACACGGTTTTGCTTCGGTCCCGGACTCACCCCAGCTGCTTATGGAAACTATTAGTTCCTTGAAGTAACGCTCACGAGATGTTGTTGCGGATTTGCAATAAATAAACAGGGAAAGGGCAAGGAGCCTCTTCACCATGATTGTGAATTTGCATTGTATGGAAAGACTGCAGCCATCGCAGTTCTGTGGGAGTGAATGGACTGACTGCGGACAAGCCCAGTATGAATGGATATTATCTTTAGTCATTATCGTAAGATCTCTACTCTTTCCGACCATCTTTGCACAGTGCGTTGTTTACTGACTCTGCAGCAATCCAATATTCATTGCCTTGGAACCCAAACTCAAATTTGTTGACATTTTGGAGGACAAATTTGCATAAGGTTATTGTTGACAGATCATGTATGTGCATTATTCATATAGTTTTAGGGAGATGCGCAGAGCCCATTCTGCCCCCCGCCACACGACTGCTTTGGTGTTTTGTTTAGACATGTTGATTAATACTTGAAGCTGCTCGGAGAGTTAGATTTAGACAGTCTTGCCATGAGACTTTTAATAATGTATTCAGTGTGATTTTCATCTCCACAAAGGTCATGTTTTGATGGTTATGGGTTCATTTGCCTGTTAGCGATAACTCCAAATGTAATCGTTGTTGAATATTGATAATCTTCCTCTTAATGAGCAAAAACTAGTAAGTAAAACTAGTTTTTATAATCATGGAAATTCAGTAGCTGTTCACCAGCTGCATATAGTATTTAACAATAATAATGCATGGGTTTTTTATATTTTTTACTTTTTTGGGCACACAAAGACGAAGACATTGTTCAGTGACTCTATACACACTACAGAGGTGATAAACTGCTGCTATAGCCACAGCGAGGCAACCAGTCTGTTCCATCAGTCCCTGCGACCACCACCAACCATCCACACACGCACTTCACGTAATCACCGTGAACAGTGTTTTGCGCGTCATTGTTCCTCGTATTGCAACAAAACTTCTCATTACAACCCAAACATGGGGCAGTTCTTCCTCAATGACTGAAAGCAAACGTTCATTCTGCGCACACGCGGTTTGTTTACACTACGTTGACAGAAATGTTGAAATTGAATATTACTTATGCACATTTTTACAGCATTTAAAAATGTTAAGAATGTTTTTCCTCCTTCAGAAACCACATTCAAACTAGAAATAAAATATTGCCCTCCCACTCCATTTTCAGACATTGTTGAAAAGGCTCCAGGAGCCACTGGAGGAGCACTAAAGAGCTGCGGGTTGCCGACCCCCGTTCTAGGCAATGTGGGTGAAGTGTTTTGCCAAAGGAAACAATGACGGTTTGGCACTTTACAGCCGCAGCTGCCCCACTGTGGCACCTGGAGAGGATCCAGATGAGGTGGCTTGATAATCTGTTTTGGATGCCTCCTACAAGCCTCCCTGGGGAGCAGCAGACCCAGTGAGTGACTCAGAGAGGGAAGTCTTGTCTCTGATACTGCTGCCTCTGATGAGACTGCTGTCTCTTTGCCCCGGTGACAGTTATACCAGACATTAATGACCACTAGCATGCTATCGCACCAAAACTTTCCTCTATGGAGGCAGATAATATACAGTCGGTATAGTTCTGCCGCCAGGTCTGCAAAGTTAAAGGAGCCTGAAGTGACAATCTAAATATATTCTGATTTGTTGGACGTTTCCATTGAACCAGGCATCATCTTGTCCCTTCACATTCTCAGAGAGCTTACACAGCCCCAGCTTGAACTCATGCTTTAGTTGCCATTGGCTGTCCTTGTTGTCCTCACTGTCTGAATTGCACGTGGTTGTTCTGACCGTGGGTGGTCCTGCTCTATTTAAAGTTCTACGTCCCCTTTGGCATTGTTAAAAGTGGCCTGGTTTCGGCATGTCCCCATTGAATTTGGATTGAGTTCAAAATGCCAATTGATCGTTCTATAGGTTAACCTCAAACTAAGAACAGTCTGATTGTATTATCCTGAATATGGCTGGCTTTGGTATTTTTGTCAATGTATGAAAGAAGGTACCTTGCCCTCTCCAGGTGAGTGGAGTCTGCAGTGATGCGCTCAGACTGTGGTGAAGAGGCCTTTGATGACCTAAAGGACAAAATGGCGAATAAGTGATAAAAATGTGTTTCCTCCGAGTGGCTGGGCACTCCCGAGGGAAAGAGTGAGGAGCTCAGTCATGCGGGGGGAGCTCGGAGTAGAGCCACACTAGGAGACATAACGGCATATACTTTACAGTTTCACGGCAGTAAGAGGCCAAGTTATTTTGAGTTTTATAGATTTTAATTGTATAGTTCGAGGTCCGTAATTTCACTGGGCTTGAGCACATATATCTCCTCTATCTAATATGAATGACTATTTGAATAGTCTCTCATTTAAACATAACATTATTAACCAGCATGCATTGTTTTTCATCCATATGTGCCTGTATAGAGGTAGGTTTTACTTAATTTATGCATGATTGACGACCGCACAAGCACTTTTACATTTACCACCACTATCATATTTATGAAGTCTCAAACACCGCTACAAACAGAATCTAAGTCTCCATTAGGATAGAATCTGTAGAAAACTTTATGAACTGTAACTCAACTGTTCCTCCAAACCATAATTTATGCAGAATATCTTCTCCAGCAGGCAGTTTGTACGCCGTTATAATCCAATTACATAAAATTACGCTGCTCTACCCAGTCTCCCTTGACTGTAAGTTCATAATGCATTACTGCAACTTGCTATGGAAAACAATTACTTAACTGGCAAACCACCGTCCCGAGTCATGAAAAAAAATGCTGATTTTTGTTTAACTAAGTGGTCTTAAAAAGTACACTGACTTTCTAGCTTTGAGGATTTTTAGCCTAAAAGTGTTTTCCAGTTTGGGTTAATTATACAGAGCTTGAAGGAATGCATTAGTGAATGTTGGAGTGTCCTTATTTGTCCTTTTGTTTTGGAGAAATGGCCCTGGAACTTCACTTTCCCGTTGTTAAAAAAACAGCCCAGAGTCAGATTTGGTTTGCTGTTTGTCAATGAATACATTTCGATATGTACTGTGGGTATGACGAGGGTAGTAATCTTGTCAAAAATGCCTCTCTTGAGGGTGAGAGACCTGTTGAAGAGGCCATCTTTGTTCAGACTGCTGCCTCCACTACTTGGCCCTGGATAAAGCAAAAGACAATATGATATTTTGTTGTTGTTGTTAGTTCATGTGCTGAATTGGGTAAAATGTATCAGAAATATGCCTGTAAATATATCTTGGTTGAGAATTTGAGATTTAGGTTTTGCACAAATGATGACAAAACAAGTCTTTTGCAATCACACATTACATGCCCTCAATAATAAAGTCTCCAAAACAACAATATTATAAATTCATTAATAAACAATATCCCCTTTTAATATGTGCATTTAGACAATATTAGCTCTCGAACCAAAACAATGGAACTATGTAGTGAAATCCGATTAGCTCTTATTAGCACTAGTTTTCAGACCGGCTTTTTTTATGACGAAGAGAGGATCAGTCAGCTCTATGGCTTTTACTCACAAATGTGTTTTAATATACAGTAAGATGAAGACAGCACGTTGTGGTCTGATTTTACCTTTACAAGACAAAGAAAATAAAGTATTTAAGAAAGAAATTGTGGGTGCCAGAACTTTGTCAGTGGAAGCAGGGCTCACATTAGGAATGTGACGATACATCGATGATCGTGATCATTTCTCCCGCGATTGATTATTATAATTTTTTTATTTATTAGTATCAATACTAAATATATGGCTACATTACGCATCTCCATTCCATTTATCATGAAATAAAGTGTATTTTGTCGCTTAACATTTTTCTTTTATTTATGCTATAAATTGTCATATGGTATATTTCTGACCAATATATCGATAATCGTCATAATGTGATATAATCGTAATTGTGAGCTTTGTATCGCGTATCGTATCGTATCGTGAGGTACCCTGAGGTTCCCACCCCTAGCTCAGATGTCTTAAATAGTAAGTGCTTTTTATATAGTGCATTTTTACAGACCGCTTTACAATGTTCAGATATTGTTCAATGAGTGAAGCGAGACGCCGAACACACCGGCACATCTGGAAGAAACCTATGCACACTGGGATTCGAACCCAGGACCTTCTTGCTGAGAAGCGAGAGTGCTATCCACTCAGTCACCGTGTCGTCCGAGTACACACGCACTGGTCTGAACCAAATATTATAAAATACTGGGACACCCTGTGTTTAAAT